TTTTTCCAGTTCTGTGCTGATCTTATCATTGTAGCTTTGTAGTATAATTTTAAGTCAGGGATTGTGATGCCTCCTGGCTTACCTTTTGTTGCTAGGAATTGCTTTTGTTATTCTAGGTCTCTTCTTGTTTGTAATGAACTTTAGGAAAGTTTTCCCTAGTTCTGTGAGATATGCTAATGGAATTTTGATTGGGATTGCATGAAGTTTACAACAATTTTGGGAGTATGGCCATTTCACAATGTTTGTTCTTCCTATCCATGAGCAAAGGTTATCTTTCCATTTTCTGATATCCTCTTCAAGCTCCTTTTCCAGAGTACTGTAATTTTCAATGTATAGATCTTTTACTTTCCTTGTTAGATTGATCCCTAAGTATTTCATATTTTTGGATGCTATTGTCAAGGGTGTGGTTTCCCTAATTTTTTTCTCAGTGAGGTTGTTGTTTGTGTACAGGAATGCAGTTGATTTTTGAGTGCTGAATTTGTATTCAGCTATGCTACTGAACTTGGTTATTGAATCTAGAAGTCTTGGTGGAGTTTTTGGAGTCTTCTATGTAGAGTATCATGTCATCTATGAATTGTAATTTAAGTTCTTTCTTTCCTATCCTATTCCTTTTATTTCTCTCCCTTGTCTAATTGCTCTGGCCAATGTTTTCAAAACTATATTGAATAGGAGAGATGATAATGGACATCCTTGTCTTGCTCCTGATTTTGCAGTGAAAGCTTTCAGTTTTTGTCCATTTAGTATGATGTTGGCTGCTGGTTTGCCATAGATGGCTTTTATAAGTTGATGTAAAGACCATCTATTCCAATTTTCTGTAGGGTTTTGATCATGAATACGTGTTGGACTTTGTCAAAAGCATTTTCTGCATCTATTGAATGATCATGTGATTTTTATCTTTGGCTCTGTTGATATGGCATGTTACATTTATTGATTTGCATACGTTAAACCATCACTGCATTCCTGAATCCCACTTGATCATGTTGTATAATCTTCTTGATGATTTGCTGCATTCTGCTTATTAGCATCTTATTGAGGATTTTTACATCTATGTTCATTAGGGAAATGGGCCTATAGTTCTCTTTTTTCATTGGATCTTTCTCTGTTTTTAGCATCAGGGTAATACTTGCCTCCAGGAATGAGTTCAGGAGTATTGCTTCCCTTTCAATTTCATTAAGTGTTTAAAAAGTAGTAGTATTAGGTCTTCTCTAAATTTCCTGTAGAATTTAGCAGTGAATGTGTCAGGGCCTGGGCTTCTCTTTGTTGGTAGGTTTTAAATTACATCTTTGATTTCATTGATATTGGTTATTTAGGATTTCTATATCTTCTTGATTCAGCTTTGGTAATTCATAACTATCTAGGAATCTGTCCATTTCTTTTGTTTTTTCCATCCTATGTAAGTAAAGATTTTCGAAATAGATATTGATGATCTTCTGAACTTCCACAAGATCTGTAGTGATTTCATCCTTTTCATTTCTTATTGCATGAATTGGAATCTTTTCTTTCCTTTTTTGATAAGGTTAGCTAAGGGTTTATTGATTTTATTTATTCTTTCAAAAAAAAACTCTTTGATTTATTATTTCTCTGTATTGTTTTCTTAGTCTCCATTGTATTAATTTCTACTCTGATCTTTATAATATCCTCCCTTCTTTGGGCTTTGGGCTTGATTTGCTCTTTTTATTTTAGAAGCTTGAGGTGCAACATTAAGTTGTTTATTTGTACTCATTCTGGGTTCCTGATGTGAGAATTCATTGCTATAAATTTCCCTCTTAGGACTGCTTTCTTTGCATCCAATAAGTTCTGCTTTGTTGTATCTGCTTTCTCATGTAGTTGTAGGTGTTATTTAATTTCTTCTTTAATTTCATCTATGACCCATTCATTGATGGTGTTATTTAATTTCCACGTGTTTGTGCAGTTTTTCCGGTTTCTTTTGCCATTAATTTCCAAGTTCATTGCACTATGGCCAGATATTATGCATGAGATAATTTCAATTCCTTCACATTTACTTAAGCATGTTCTGTGGGCTAGTAGATAGTCTGTTTTAGAGAATGTCTCATGTGCAGCTGAGAAGAATGTGTATTCTGATGATGTTGGGTGGAACACTTGGTAAATATCTACTAAGTCCATTTGTTCACAGGTTTGGTTCAGTTTGGATATTTATTTGCTGATTTCTTGTCTTGTTGATCTATCTTTGTGACAGTGGGGTATTAAGGCA